CAGGTGATGCATTTTCGTGTCACGTTTTTATCCCTCAGTTACACAACAGAATTAGATACATGATTTAAGTGGCACTTGAAGATGAAAGAAAGGGCAGGAAGTCCCATGGAACCGGGGACATCCTTATAAGAAAGTATGAAAGAAAATAAATAAATAGACGCACGGAAAGGCAAAGTTATAAATAATAGCTGATCAGTATTATCTAAAATTTTGAGATGTATATATCTTTTTCACCAATGAAATGTTTTCAGAATACTCTACAAAACTTGTTATTTGTTTCTGATTGTCTAGAGAGCCGTAGATATTGGTGGGGTGCATCTCCTCGTCACCAAAACTGCGCAGTTTTGGTGATCAGGAGATGAATCTCTACGAGCCATTTTACTTTTCCTCAATAGCTGATTTACAAATAATGCAGCAGAAAGCATATGCTTTATGGAAAAAAATATTACGAAAGTACATTACCTTTATATGATGTATCAATTCGTTGTATTTGTGCTAGACAATCAATTCGTTGTAACTGTAACTGTCTAAATAAATCAATTCGTTGTAACTGTGCTAGACAAATTGATTTCCATATCCTAACTAAAAAGGTTAACGGCACCAACATTTTTAATTATTGTACCATTGGATAGTGATAATTTACAGATAGTTGACTGAGTTGATGTTAAAATTCCGATATGAAAAATGTCGATATGAAAGCGCTTTGGTTATTAATATGAAAGCAACTAATCCCATTGATCCCATAGCATTTATCTCCATAATTTCTTCCTGAATTTACCGTTGAAAATATGATGACTGGTGGTGGATATCTATCTCTGCCATTCTTTTTTTTTTTAGATATATACCTAATCACAAGGAATGAAACCTGGTTGGTATATATCAATTTGAATTAAGTTCCAATTAGTTAAGAAATAGAATACTTCACAGTTCATTCAACGGTCCTTAGCAAAAGCAAACTTAATTAACGCTAAAACTGAGGACCACTGTGAAAATCAACCGGAATTTGCAATTTTAGAGGATAAACTCATATTCTCTAATATGCAACGCTTATTATTGGCGAGGAAGGAAGGGGAATAGGGAGTCTCACTTCTAATAGCACGTTCACCCGCCTCTTGTACTTTTGTGGCTCTTCACCTCCCACTCCTGCCTTGAGAATAAAATTTATGTTTTCTTGGAAGTGAAAAAAACTCCGGTAGAAGACACATACCTCGATAAGCAGTATTAATTGAATATTTGTAAATTAGACAAGGACAACAATCTGCCATCATGAAGTTAGGTGAGTGTTAACCATGAATTTACGAAGATTTTCATGGAGATATAGGAACTGGAAAACAATAGGATTTGTATCTGCTTTCATATCAATTATTGACGCACTTCATGTAGATGTTGTTTGTGTAATATTAGCTATATGTAATTTACCTACCGATAAGGTTGTGTATTGGCGTACCGTCAACTATATCACTCGGGATATAGATAATCTAAAAAAGTATATGTATAAAGTATTTTAAATCTTTTATAATACTTTCATAACTAACTGCCGTTACTCAATTGATACTAATCGTTAAAACAGTATTGTTAGCCCCGGGAGACAAACAGAGAAAGCGGCGTACAATTCCATTTCGGTTTATCGAAATATAATGACTTAATAAGTGTTTTGTATGAAGGTAACACTGGAATAATTGCCGTAAACCAGGAAGATTCCGTCTTAGTACACTTTTTTTTTCGTGCGAAAAAAAAAAAAAAATATGTATACCTATATACTTTATGCTGCAACTATCGAGGAATAGCATATTGGTCCGAAGTTTGTCTGTTAATCATGTCAAGAAGTTTATAGGAATTTAAGAGTCTCCTTTAGTTTTTTTTTTTTTTCGTTTCTTCATTAACATTTATTTTCTTACCGTCAAATCGAAGCTTCGTTAATAACCAT